TTGGATTCTGGTGCACCATCGCTGGCGGATGGGCCGCTGTCGTCTTCATCGTGGTAATTGGCCCGATTGCAATACAGACCCCCGCCAAGGGACCGTACTTCGGCATTTCGGGAGCATGGTACGCGCGTTCTGGCTTACTTGCGGCCACTATCTAATGCCACTGATCTTTCCACAGGTGCTGGATCACGTCGAACTATCCTAAGGAGCAGATCTTCCTGGAGTATTTCCTCGTTCGTGCCTGGGCAATCTTATATTCCGACGTGTCTTAAATGTGTCCTCAGGAATACGTCGCGGCCGTATTGTGCTTTGTCCTCTACACGCTCATCATCCTTCGCATGCGCGGAAATTTGGTCTGCCAAGACGGCAAATGGACGCTTCGTTTTCTCCCTCCCGGGGAATCCTGGCAGCTTGCCTTACGCCGCGACTTGATTGATTCGTCGATGCTCCAGGTACGTTTCCCCCCCCATGACCGTTGCAGCCTGAAGCTAATCTAGCTTACCTACCTTAGGCAGTCGAAAAGATGGTCTGGTAAGCCACTGAATCCTCTCTACACGTTGTTTTCCTTGAGCTCATTCACCCGCAGGTATCCAGCAAGTCTACTTTTTTTGTTTTATTTGATGCTCGGAAGCTGATATAAACTAGGTCATCTACACGTTCCTCATCCTCCCGATAACCATCGCCCGTCTGTCCCAATTCGCCGGCGCCAACGTGCCTTTCGGGGCCACCGTCGTTACCGACGTTATCTTCAATCTCACCGGTCAGCTCCCCGCCCCTTTCATCCGGAGCGAGCACTGAATTGAAAGAAAATATGTAAATAGGGTTCGCGAACGTGCTCCTGCTGATCGCGACGCGCAAGCTGTTCCCGGACGCGCGCGAGCTGCCCGAGTTCGCGACGGCGCGCAAGGCGGTGCGCAAGTCGCTCTTCAAGGCGGGGGGCATCACGCCGTTCACGATCGAGCGCAGTGACACCGCCGACTCGTTCGCGGCGCTGCGCCTCGCGCGCGTCGAGTCCGGGCACAGCTCGTCGAGCGTCGATTCGGCGGAGCCCAAGCAATGAGGACGCCGCGAATGCCAGTATCCCGAACTATCGCGGAAACGTAGTGAATCAGTCCATGGCTGTATACCCAAATTGTACTTTTCACATCGTTGAGACGCCTACCTATCGACATCTACATCTCTGACTCATAGATACGACATCATAGATGGGTTTTGTTCTCTGATACCGATACCACTATACATACATACATACCCGACAGTTGCTGCGCACAGGCCAAGTTTTTCGGCCGTGATACACGAGCGCTTTTCGACCGTGATACACGGGCGCTACGCCAAGGTCTCCGGTCCCGGACGGCGCCATTTGAATCTATTGCCATAATAACGTGGCAGCATCAGCGGACAATAGGGACCAAGCGACATTATTCATTCATTCAATACACTAGCGGGTATCTGTATCTCATGTCCCCGCAACATCCATAATAAATAAAATTTAGCGAAGAGTAGATGTCGAATGTACAGACAGCAACAGACAAGCGGACGTCTGGCCGACGAGGTTGGGCCACAAGCGACGCTCTGGTAGGGCCTCGAGCGACACCCTGGGTAGGGCCCCGAGCGCACTCCCAGGCTACGGCCACGAGCGCACGCCCCACCCAATGCGCTCAAACAGCACGGGCATCATCTCGCACGCGATAACCGCGATCCCGGCGTACACGATGAGCTTCGTCAGCACGTCCGCGTCGTAGTGCTTCACCTCGCCGCCCTCGTCCGCGCCCTCGTCCTCCATGCCCGTGCTGGGCCGCGCCGCCTCGACCGCCTCCGCGCGGCGCCGCAGCCCGCCCTTCCCGTTCCCGCCCCCATTCGCCGCGCCCCCGAACCCGCTCCCGCTGCCGATCCCGCCGACCTCGACGCCGGCGGTGCTGGGCAGGTCGATGACGGACGGGATGGGGCGCAGCGCCGCGACGGGCGGCGCGCCCGCGTACTCGGTCGCGGGCGTGTAAAAGCGCCGGCGCGGGAGGCGCATGAGCGTCGCGAGGAAGCGGAACGTCGGCGGCAGCGCGCGGTGCAGCGCCGCCTTGGCGAGGAGGCGCCACGCGAAGATCGCCGCGATGCCGAAGACCATCTTGAGCAGCGCGACGCCCCACCACACGCCGACGGCGCTCCACCCACGCGGGACCGCCGCCCATGCGCCGTCGGTGGCGAGCGCCCAGCCGGACCCGGGCATGACGGCGCCCGCGCCGGGGACGGGCACGCCCCAGCGCACAGCACCCCACCGCCCGACGAGCATGCCGAGCATAACGCTCCCAATCGCGATCGCGTCCTCGAAGCACGGGCAGTCGTCGACGGGCTGCGGGTGCTGGTTGACCGCGAGGAGCGCCAGCGGGATGAGCGTGAGCGGTACGCGCAGGGACGACGGCGTGCGCAGGATCCACGCGTCGAGGTGCGCGCCCCAGCCCCAGCCGCGCAGGAGCGTCGTGCTGTACGTGTGCGTGGGGGAGAGCGCGAGCGACACGCCGATGCCGCGGAAGGACGTGTGCGCGAGCCAGACGAGCACGCCGAGGAAGACGCCGACGGCGCAGTCGGAGAACGAGTGCATCGCGGTGTAGAGGCGCCCGAAGACGATGGACGTGGCGTAGATCGTGAGGCCGGCGGTCATCGCCGCATAGGCGGGGAGCGAGAGCGCAGGCGGCGTGGGCGCGATGGGAAAGGCGAGCTCGTGGATGTAGGCGAAGAAGAAGAGCGCGAGCGACACGCTGTTGGCGCTGTGCGTCGAGGGCATGCCGTACTCGAGGTGGTGGGTGCCGATTGCTGGGGGGCTGTTAGCAGTTGGACAACGTGAAAAGGGGGATGCGTACTCAGCCGCGTGACTGGCGGTGCGAATGGACGCGGGGAGCAGAAGAGGTCCTTCGCGACGGAGGTGAAGTAGATCCCAAGGCAGAGCACGATTATCAGACTACGAGCTTGTCAGCTGGGGCAGTAGGGTACAAGTGTAGGGCAGCGCACCCACGGCCCAGCTCATCGTAACCAAAGAAAAAGAGCATTGGGAGGAAGGTCATGAAGAAGGTGTGCGTCCCAAGGGCTGACGAGTGCACAAAGTAGGCGTCGAGCCAGGGGGTGCGGATGGCATCCTGAAAGCGGTAGTTAGCGGACGCGTTGACAGACCAGATGTGATTCAAGGAGAGGAGAGACAAGGAAGGGCTAGTACAAGTCCGTCTTTCAGCTCGCGGCAGACGCAGCCGTAGAACGTTATGCCACAACGGTAGGGTTAACGTCGTCGTCCCCGTCTACGGCCCCGAGCATGCTCTGAGGACAGCAGGCTGGAGCCTTACTACGTAGCGAAAATCGGACGTAAGATCGCCGCGATACTCCTGCTCGTATTGCCGACGCGCTAGAGGCCATAGCCCTCATAAGACTGGAGTGGGAGCCCAACATGCCTCGACACCACAGAAAAAGGAGAGACCAGACTGGGCTCGCGCACGGACCGCGCGGTAGCGGGACAACGGGGACTCAAGCGACGAGTGGGGCGTCACGGCGCGACGCGTCTCCGCGCAGCGCACGCACGACACGGGCCACTCGCCACCGCCGCCGCCCGTCCCTCCCCCCCCCCGCTTGGGGATGGACGGGCTCGCGCTGAGCATCCCCGCCGATGCGCTAGGAGTGGGATGGGGCACAGCCGTTCCTGGGCAGCCCAATGGCGAGCGCATTCTCCGCGCCGGACAACGGATCGTCGCGATAGTCCCGTCGACACACTAGCGGCTACGGCCCTCAGAAGACTGGTGGAGTGGCCGCCCAACACCATAGAAAAAGGAGAGGAGAGACCAGGATGGGCTAACACAAATCCGTCTTTCGGCTCGCAGATAGACGCAGCCAGACGTTGTGTCCCGCTCGCCACATCGTGATCCTCGTCCACGGCCCCGAGCATGCTCTGAGGCACAGCGGGCCGAATCCTTCCTACTGGAAGGTGTCGAAATTCGGACGTAAGATCGCCGCGATATTCCTGCTCGTTGTCGGCATGCCAAGAGCCACCGCCCACATCCGAAGCCGCCCGCACCACACCTAGAGAACATGGAACTAGACTCGCCTGCATTTTGGCCACGATAACAGATTCGACGCGGATGCTTGCAACGAGCTTCCGGCGCACTGCCGCGCGCCACGGAGGCAAGGTGGCATCGTACACATCCATCGGGCGGCACCCCGGGTCGTCCTGGAGGCTCTTGTCCAGGTAGTCCTCCGTGAAGGGCGCCGACGACGGCGTGGACGGTGCCGGAGACCCGGCTCTCGAGGACGCGATAGACGAGGGCCCGGAAAGGGTGAAATCGACGCGACGAGCCTTATCGGGAGTCGGAACTGAGGCCATGGGGCGCGGGGTGTACCGGGAGGCGGTCGTGTAAGCCTCTCCGGTGAAAAATGGAACCCCCACCAAATCCCCGCACGCTTACGGATCACTGATGGCAACCCAAATCACAGATCATCACACAGGTTCGACATTCAACTGCAAGTTCAACTGTTCGTTAAAAATCCTTCACGCCCCTCGTTTGTAAGACAAAGAACCCCAAACATCCTACGAATTTATTCTTGGAATCATTCCAATGAACGGCGTGTTCCAAGTTCAAATTTGCAAAAACTTCATGACGTTCTCTCGAACAGCAGTGGCACTTATTTCTTGGAACGTCCGCAGATCTGATGCATTGCAGAGACAAGCCAAATGACTCGAGCCAAATCCAGGGCCGAGTCCTCGCTTGCCTTTTTTTTCTCGCCTCAAAGAATTGGGGACACTACCTGCTCGATATCTGATTTCAACAGCGGCATCATCTATGGCTACTTTCTCCGCACACCCACATCACTTTCTCGTTCTGAGCTGCGACTCATGAACGTCGGTCGAGTTCGCACGTGGTAGTTTCTTTGACTTACTTTATTTGTTCGACTAGACTCAACCGACTCGCCCGGAAATACTAGCTGGCCACTTGGCCTTTGCCATACTACGAAATCCAACAAGCCCACCAAACAGCTTGATAGCACAACTGGTTAGTGCAGCTGCTACAAATGCAAAACTTCAGGATCAATCTTTCTGCAGAAGATCCCTGTTCGACTCAGAGTCAGGTTCTTATCCATCACCATAATTTTTCTTCTTTTTTTCTTTTTTCCTGCTCCAAGGGAGTCGACTCTCATCCTCTTGTATCCATCGTTATGAAATTTCGGCTAACTCTGACTCTGAAAATTTCAAGGAACCTATAATAAACTCAACTTCCCACCTCGCCATTTTCCTTAGACTTGGAGTGAGCTAGAAATCTAGCACACTAAGCAACGGCCTGATAGTAAAACTGGATAGTGCGTCTGCTATAATTGAAGAGCCAGGGCGAATCTATAAGTAGAAGATCTCCGTTCGATTCGGGGTCAGGCCATGTGTACTTTCCACCTTTTTTTTCTTTTCTTTTCTTTTCTTTCTCCCTCTTTTATTTTAAACTTCCGAATCTTGGTGTAAATCCCCCTTCTCTGTTACACCGTATATTTCGGGGCAAATGAGGTAGTCAATTGAAGTCCAACATTGGGTAGTGCAAAATCCAACATTCCCAAAAGTGGCTTGATAGCACAACTGGATAGTGCATCTGCAGTAGATACGCCTTTCCGATTACACTTTCCGCAGAAGATCCCTGTTCAACTCAGGGTCAGGCCGTGCATTTATATATTACGTGTTTTGGGTCGTTTCCCCCCTCCCCGCTGCTTCGAGGGAAGCACGAATCGTCAAGGCCTTCCTCAGACTCTTATATTCTTTTTTTTGAACAGACTCAACCTCTGCTCCGAATATGAGCCTCAACCCGGAGCAACCTGAAGTTTCAAGGAATCCTAGACTGAAAATTCAAGTAATTTCAACCTCCCACTCGAACGCTCTCATCACCAAGATCAAACAGACTCAATAAAGGCCTGGTAGCACAGCTGGATAGTGCATCTGTTACGTTTCAGACGGAAAATTTCCTTACTACAGAAGGTCCCCGTTCAATTCGGGGTCAGGTCTTTGGCCGTCTGTAAAGTTCTTTTTTTTCTTTCTTTTTTCACACATAAAAAAGAAACTACTCTCCCTTCATCCGCGCCCCATTCTCATCATTCTAAAACGAACCTCAACTCAAGGTCTTTCGTTGAAATTCTCTTATGAAATCACTCCCAACCCATGGCAGCCAGAAGAAATAAATTCAACTTGAAATTCAACCTCACAGTTACTCAATCTTCGTCTCACCATTTTCCTTTTGTTCAGCGGAAGAGACAAGCTACAGAGTAATGGCCTGATAGCACAGTTGGTTAGTGTGTCTGCTAAAGATAAATATCCCATCTTTCTTGTGTAGAAGATCCCTGTTCAATTCGGGGTCAGGCCATCCTTTCACTTGGCGTAGAGCTTTTTTTTTCAACTTCTTACTTTCCTTCTCTCCTCACTCATGACCTGTACTGATTCTTCTTGTGTTTTTCATACAAGCCTCCTTTTCTCATCATTACAGTACGTGCCCATATTTTTTTTCGGGGTCACGAAGGTATAATTATTTACTGAAAAATTTGCAAGAGTCTATTGGAACCTCTCCATCTGGACGTCCAAGGCTCACATGTATGCGTTCAACTTGTTCGCTCAGGGCTCATGGGTGTGCCATAAACTGAATTGAGATGTTGAACGATGGATACTACTACATTATCCTCTGCTTCCCTGGATGTACGATATCCCGTGCCCTACACCTCAGGCTGGCGACTCGTATCTGCGCTTTCGCCCAGAATAAGGGCAATGGCCTCTTGCGACCGCGGGGTGATGGAGCACCTGAAAGGGAGCGGCGCGCTAAATCGCGAACAGATATCGTCTGTATTGCAACATGAGTGAGTTATAGAACGGGCCTGGAAATTTGATTTGACTCTAATATTGGTCAATGTGTAAAAATGTCGCTTGTAAATTTCGAACGCACACCTTTTCTCAGGTGAACAGATAATGGGGAGCCTTCATGAAAATCCCCATGCGCTTTAGTTCCCTGCTTAGCTCAGAAGAGGTCGATCCAAGGGAGGAAGGGAGTCCGCCCAGGCTGGAAGTGTCCAGGATTTTTGGTTGTGCACGGAGCGCATCAAAGTATGCCGGTGCGTCGCGTGGGAGACCTATCTCGATTCTTTCACTAAAGACTAAAGGAGGTGCATAGAATTCGGGTTAGCGCTGCCAGAAAGGCCGTGCGCTCAGGATCGAAGTCGTGAGGGTCTGGGAGCGATATATTCAATCTCGTTACGAAATCGAATGTTGTCCTCGATGACCGCAAATTCGTAGATGCCAAAGAAGCATGCGGCACTCGTGTCATCTCTGCGAATGGGGAAAATTCGGGCAAGCAACGATGGGAGACGATAGGACGCTCGCCATAGCTTCGAAGAGTAAGGGTATCTGCCTATGACTCGTCTTCTATTAGCGCGGAGTGCTCTAATGAAGAGAGGGAGAGCCTCGAACATATCTCGATACGGGTCCATGACCCAACGAAACATAGCCAGGAGGAAGTCCATTTCACTCGACGAAGTAGGCGGGGTGATATGGGCCTCGTGGTGACCACGTACAGTATGTGGGGACACAATGAGAACAGATCGCGAATTCCTGCCATTTGTGGGTGCTAACGCTTTTTGGTGTTGTTCAAACGTGGTGTAGTCGAGGTGGGTAGAGCCGCGTCGCGAGCCGCGACTCGCGACACAGGGGTATGTGTGCACCTGTTTACGTATGCCTAAGCCCGATGACCGATGGCCGATGGGCCGATCTCGGACTCCGATGACGGAGTTCGCCTTGCCCGGTCATCTCGGCGACTTTATGTTCGCTTTCTGACTGAACGTCTTTCTCAGCCTTTTAGGGCCTGATCGGGTGCACGAGAATTTTTCTCAAGAATTTTACTAGACTCTCAATCCCACCATTATCCTGTCTCTCTGTGTACTCTAGGACTAACTAAATCTATAATCTATGGATTCTTATCATGGAGAGAGATGTGCGAGGCAAATCAGGTGAAGTTGTTGACATTCTAAGCTTTTCTAGCATAATTCTTGAAGAATCCTAGAATCTTTAGCACTTCAAGTTGGCTAACATGTCCACCACTCTCATCAGCAAAATTTTATTGAAAAACAGCTTAAATATGTGGAAAGCACATGAGGGGACGAGCAAGAGACAGAATAGGAATTCTAGAGAACTTCTAGAGCACCCGATCAGGCCCTTACTGTAACCACTGTCTCACTTTGCCAAGGTAACTGGTCTGTGGTGACCGATGCTGACTGATGTGGAAGGCGGTGGTAGTTATCATCGGGTAGGCATTGGGCAAGCATAATATTAATTACTCGCTTACGAGCCTACGACCAATGAACATGCATATGACCCAGGGAGTGTACACGCCCTTTTTTTTTTTTTTTTTTTTTTTTTTTTTTTTTTTGACTACCAGTCCCCAGGTGAACACTACTACTTTCTGTATATCCCAACTCAGATTATGGTTTCAATCTTTCGACTCAACGGCAGCAGAAATAAGGAAGTAGGTCAGCGCAGCAACCAGGCCTGAGGGCGATATCTATCAATGTTTATGGAACAGAACACAGCGCAGTATAGCAATGGTTTTTCAACCAGGAACGAGATGGAGTGGGTGCTTTCCAGGCGAGCCGCGGACGGAAAGCCGACGTTGCTAGCATCCCCTGACAGGTAATTAGTGTGCAAGGCAAGAGCAAGAGACTCAGGGAGTACATGCATAGTGACCGGGGCCCGGCTTTGGCGTGGAATATTTGCAGGGCCATCACTCGGATGAACGGGGAGATTCGAATCCAATTAAACAGTCACGTAAGTACATATACCCTTGGGATAACCGGTAATGTATTGAATAATGGAGATAATCGGTCCCTGTCGTTCCCGCACTGCGGACACAGCCGATCTGCGGAAATGTTGAACGCCGGTAGATCCTGGTACCTAGATCATGGTCTTGGGAAGTCAGTTGTGAACATTCAGAGCATTGGTAGCATACTATCGCAATAAGCGTCCGCATTGGTGGATAATTCAGAAAGAAGTTCGGTTGGAAGAAGACGCCAAGTACGTAGCAGTACATGGAGTATGTTACAGTTTGCATCCGAGACAGGAGAAGGACAGGCAGAGCAGTAAGGAAAGCGCTAATAAATAAGTAATTGAATGGGGAAAAATAGTTAGAACCATGTCGTCGATTGTTGCACGGGCTCAGACGACACAAAGCTCGGTGCGGACTCGGCGCGCGCGAGGCGTAGGGCCTCGAACTGCTCGGCAGTGTCGCTACGCTTGATTGTGAACGGCGCGATGCCCCCTGCCTTGAAGACCGACGTGCGCACAACCGGGCGCACCGTCGAGAACTGGGGAAGCTCCTGCGCGTCTGGGAACAGCCGCCGCGTCGCAACCAATAGGATGACATTCACAAATCCTATTTATTTTCCATCGAGTCAATCTTTGCCAGGAGCGAAACGCGGGAGAGGAGCTGACCGGTAAGGTTGAAGATCACGTCGCTGACAACGATGACCCCAAAGGGTGCGGGGGTGCCGGTGAATTCGAGTATCCGCACGATGGTTATAGGGAGGATGAGCCATGTGTAGGCTATCTGGTGCATACATATCAGCCACAAAGGATAATTGAGAGAAAGAAGTAGACTTGCTGGATACCTGTGGGCGAAGTCAGCTCAAACGAAAAAAAAAAAACACAACATGAGGAGGCTTGCTCACCAGACCATTTTTTTAACGGCCTACGATCGGTAAGTTTCACGCTGCGATAGTCATGGGGTGCACGCACCCGGAGCATGGCAGAGTCGATTATGTCTTGATGTATGGCAAGCTTCCAAGATTCGGCGCGAGGAAGAAAGCGGAGCATCCATTTGCCATCTTCGCAGACCAAATTTCCACGCATTCGAAGGACGATGAACGTGTAGAGGACAATGCAGCACCCGGCAGAGACGTATTCCTGAGAAAGGTTGGAATGGTCCGTCGGATGCAGTGCAAAAAAAAGGCACATACCAGCAAATACTCCAAGAATATCTGCTCCCAAATATAGTTCGGTGCGATCCAACACCTATCCGACTCATGAGCGGCTTGGGATGGCGGGAAGTAACCAGAAAACGCGTACCATGCTCCCGAAGGCCCGAAATAAGGGCCCTTTGCCGGCGTTTCTAACAGAGTCGGGCCGATTAAGACAACAATCACCACGATGGCCCATCCGCCAACGATCGTGCACCAGAAGCCGACGTTGGTGGATGGTCGTCGGACCACTAATAGGGTGAATAGGTGCACAGCAAGCAGGAAGGTCCTGGGTGGTGAATTCAGTCAACTTTCCTAAGCATTCAGAGTGTGGGCTTTACCACAGCGCAGTGGTGATATTTCCTGCCTGCTTGATACCGCCTGTGGGTGACCTTGTCGTCAACGAGCACGGAGATGCGGATATCGGGTATTCCTAACCTTGAGCGTTGCAAAAGTGGCCAGGCGTAACCGTTCCTTCCACAGCCCACTTGAAGTCCAGCACGGTGCCGAACGCCTGGAGTGCATTCGCCAGGAGAAGAGACCTGAAGTACCCATTTATGTGCGTCTTTCCGTAGTTTTGAAGTCGTAAGGATGGTATCTGGGGCGTTGAATCGGCTTTCGTCGTGGGCGTAGAAGCGCAAAGAGATTACCATAAAATAGAGAGAAACGGATAAAAGAGAGAGCAGCGCGGCTAATGCAAGACACTATAATTGTTCAGAGCAATGCGGGTTGGGGACATATCATAAATCACGCACCAGTACACCCGAAGCCTCAGAAGAAAGGGCCATTACAGTCGACGGAGAGAAGAGATTAAAAAGTGAATACTAAAAACGCTAAACACGTCGCAAATTCAACTCCCACCAGGAGGGTCGGCGAAGCCTGTCGCGTTGAGGGAATGTGTGAGGGAGACGACGGATAGCCGTGAGCTCGAGTGAATGTGCACTGCCCGGTATCTTATATGTAAAACGTACGCGTACCGGTAACGTAAATTTTAGTGCGGTTTAGCGACCCGACCCGTCTTACCACGGAACAACCACGGAAACGATATTGCGCAGTGATGCGCTCTGCGGTTCAGCCCGCATTCGCACGCCGTCTACCTCTTGGCATTCCAAGGAGGAATGCTGAGAAAAATCCAGAAGAATTAGTCATATAGCTGCCACGATCGCTACTTGGTAGCAGCAGAAGCTCTAGCACGGCAATTAGCCTGGTATTGGAGCTTGAACCGCACGCGTCGATATCGATAAACCACCGCAATTGTCGATGCCAAGTCGATCCTCGTACCTCGCAGAGTCGGAGTCTTAGTCTGTGAGACAGACCCATAGAGTCGAAACAGAAACGAAACCGGAGATAGACAGTGTTGGCTTAATGCTTA